GGTCGGGCTCGGTAGCTCAGCCTGTCATCCCAGCACTTTGGGAGGCAGAGGCGAGTGGATTGCCTGAGCCTGCAGGTTCAAGACCGGTCTGGGTAACTTGGCCAAACCTCCTCTCTACAATAAATAAAAAAAACTAGCCAGGCACGGCAGTGCTCACCTATAGTTCCAGCTACTTGGACAGCTAAGGCAGAAAGATCGCCGGAGCCCAGCAGGTCAATGCTGAGGTGGCCGTGAGTGTGCCACCACACTCCAGTCTGGGCAACGGAGTGAGACTCCAACTCAAAAAAAAAAAAAAGATGTAGGGTACAATTCAGGATCAGGTATATAAGTGGTCATCATATAGATGAAGATTGGGCCTCCCTTTGGTCCCCACTTTGCCTGGTTTGGAATGATGTTATGTGTCCTTCCCACCCCCTGGCAGTGTCCCACTACTGCCAATCCCTTTCTTGTAATATTATGATAAATGTTCAGGGTCCAGAGTGAGAACTTGTGGTACTCAGTTCTTTTATTTCTGTGATAGATCACTGAGTATGATAGATTCTAAACCCATCCAAGTTGCCGTGAAGTCCATAATTTTGCCGCCTTTATGGCTGCATAATATTCCATTGTGTATCTATACCACTTTTTCATCCAGTCCACTTTCAGTGGGCAACATGGTTGGTTCCATGTTTTTACTATTGTGAATAGTGCTACAATAAAGGTGTGTGGGTATATTTTCTGTAGAATGATTTAAGTTCCTCCAGGTATATTCCCAAAACGGGGATTGCTAGATCACATGGATGGTCAATTTTTATAATTTTTTTCTTAAGCCAGACTGGAGTGCAGTAGCATGATCATGGCTCACCACAGCCTCAACCTTCTGGGCTCAAGTGATCCTCCTGCCTCAGCCTCCCAAGTAGCTGGGACTACAGGTGCGTGCCACCACACTCAGCTAACTTTGATATTTTGTAGAGACGAGGTCACACTACATTGCCTAGGCTGGTCTCAAACTCCTAGATTCAAGCAATCCTCCTGCCTTGGCCTCCCAGAGTGCTGGGATTTCAGGTGTGAGCCACTGCACCTATCCTGCTAAGCACTTTATATCCATTATCTCTGTTGCTTATCACCATCCTATGAAGAATTAATATTACTATCCCCTTAGCCAGGCATGGTAGCATGCACCTGTAGTTCCGGCTACTCGGAAGGCTGAGGCAGAAAGATAGCCAGAGCCCCCAGCAGGTCAACGCTGGGGTGGCCGTGAGCATGCCATTGCAACTCCAGCCTGGGCAACAGCGTAAGACTCAGTTCAAAATATATATGTGTGTGTGTGTATATATATATATATATATATTACTATCCCCATTTTAGAGAAGAAGACATTGAGGTTCAGAAAGGCACAGGGATTTGAGCCCAAGGCTGGCTCTGAGGCTTGTGCTTTGCAGTGCAGCCTTTCTGGACTAGTGAGAAGCAGGTAGGAGCTGAGAGTGAGCATTGGTGACCCTGGGAAGAAGTCCTCCCTTGTATGTCGACATGCAGAACAAGGGTTCCAGCCCACGCTGGTAATTTTTCTGCCAAGCAAGGATGAGTTGTCATCACACCTCATTGCATGTTACCTATTATGAATAATCACCATCAGCAGAAGAGAAGCGGGAGTGATGCAACTCCTTAGTGGGATCCAGAATGGCAAGATTGTACCCCAGACTTCCTCAGTGTTCTGGCTCCTCCAGGTCCTGGCCCTGCTGGATGTTTGCATAAGAATCCGGATGGGCCGGACACGGTGACCAAAACCTGTAATCATAGCACTTTGGGAGGCAGAGGCGAGAGAAGTGCCTGAGTACAGGGGTTCAAGACCAGTTGGGACAACTTGGTGAGATCTCATCTCTACAATAAATAAATAAGTAATTAGTTGGGCGTGGTGGCGTGCATCTGTAGTTCCAGCTACTTGGAAGACTGAGGCAGAAGGATCACCTGAACCCAGCAGGTTGAGGCTGCAGTGGCTGTGAGTGTGCCACTGCACTCCAGCCTGGGTGACAGAGTGAGACTCTGACTCAACAACAAAAACAAAAAAGAATCCAGAAGGGAGTCAGGTGAGGTGGCTCATGCCTGTAATCCCAGAACTTTGGGAGGCAGAGGTGAGAGGATTGCCTGAGTTCAGGGAATCAAGACCAGCCTGGGCAACTTGGCAAGACCTTATCTCTACAATAATTTTTTTTTTTAATTAGCCAGGCATGGTGGCCTGCACTATAGTTCCAGATACTTGGAAGGATTGCCCAAGCCCATCAGGTAAAGGCTACAGTGGCCATGAGCATGCCACTACACTCCAGCCTGAGGGACAGAGTGAGATTCCAACTCAAAAAAGAATCCAGATGGGGACTAGGCGTGGTGGCTTATGCCAGTAATCCCAGCACTTTGGGAGGTCGAAGCAGGTGGATTGCTTGAGGCCAGGAATTTGAGACCAGCCTGAGCAACATAGCCAGAACTCATCTCCACAAAAAATTTGTTAAAGTAACGGGGTGTGGTGGCAAGTAGTCCCAGCTACTTGGGAGGCTGAGGCAGGAGGACTGCCTAAACCCAGGAGTTGGAGGCTACAGTGAGCCATGATTGTGCCACTGCACTCCAGCGTGGGTGACAGAGTGAGAACTCGACTCAAGAAAAAGAAAACAGAAACCCTTTCACATCATAATGTCAACAGGTTTTCACAACCACCTTATGAAATAGGTCCCAATATTTTCCCTATTTTGATGAGGGAACAGGCTCAGAGAGGGGAAGCAAACTGTCAAAGTCACACAGTGAGCTGGGCTCGGTGGCTCAGGCTGTAATGCCGCACCTTGGGAGGCTGAGGTGAGTGGATTGCCTGAGCCCACGGGTTCGAGACCCACCTGGGCAACTGGGCGAGACCTCATCTCTACAATAAATAAAAAATTAGCCGGGCGGGGTAGCGCACGCCTATAGTTCCAGCTACTCGAAAGGCTGAGGCGGAAGGATCGCAGAGCCCAGCAGGTCGAGGCTGCGGTGGCCGGGAGCAGCCACTACACTCCAGTTTGGGCGACAGAGTGAGACTCCAACTCAAAAAAAAAAAAAGTCACACAGTGCATCAGTGGCAGCTGAGGCTGTGCCCGGGTCAGCCTTCCCTGGATTCCACACCATGAGGCCTTGTACTGGGCTCTTACTAGACCAGGTGCCTTCTGAAAACAAGACTGTCAGATTTGAGGGGAACAACACCCTCCCTCCTCCTCACACGTGCTCAGATTTTCCCGACTGAATGTGGCTCCATTGCTGTTCCCTGGGGTCCTGGGTGAGAGTTAGCAGCCTAACAAGGTGGTACCAGGATGTGAGGACTTCTGAGACTCCCATGCGTCATAGGTCCCACCCAGCTGTCACCTTGTCTGAGACGACAAGTGCTGTTCCCCCTCCTCTCTCCTTGCGGTGCAGGAGGAGGGGTAAGCAGCCAGGCTCCAAGTAGGTGGGAACCCAGGAGAAGAGACCGTCTTGAGGCCTCCCACCCACCCCATGCTCTCCGGGGGCAGCCTCATCCCACACAGAGCTAGGTGCTGGGGACCCTGGTGTCTAGGTCTCTGCCGCCATGCTCGCCTGCCCACAGGAAGTCCTCAGGGAGGGACCAAAGACGAATGGCAATAGGTTTGGATAAAAGGCTGTGATGGGGTGGCAGAAGCAAGTCTGAACATTTGGGACACTGGGGAAGCTTCCCAGGGAAAGGGACATCAATGCCTGTAGCGGAGTCAGCCAGTTACTAATGTGGGAGATTGTTCCAGGCGGGGAAACTGGTCCAGGCAGGGAGGGCATTTGCAAAGGCTTGGAAGTGAAGAACTTTGTGGGCTCAGGACACGAAAGGATCCAGTCTGGTTGGAGAGTACTTTGGGCTGGTGATGGCAGGCGGTATTTACGGGGATCCTTAGTAAAGCTGTATTTCAGGCCAATCTTGAGCCCCTAAAAGCATCACACAGTCACGACCCGCCTGGGCAGACGAGACTTCATCTCTGCAATAAATCAAAAAATTAGCCAGGCGTGGTAGCGCGCGCCTGTAGCTCCAACTACGTGGAAGGCTGAGGCGGAAGGATCGCCAGAGCCCAGCAGGTCGAGGCTGCAGTGGCCGGGAGCGGCCACTGCACCCCAGTCTGGGCGACAGAGTGAGACTCCGACTTAAATAAATAAATAAATAAAAATAAAAGCATCACACAGTTTCATTTCTCTGCCTGAGCTTGGCTTTCCTGCTGTCATAGTGGGCACGGCCTCGGGGGGGCAGTGTCTCCTCAGAGATGCGCCCAATGGTGGGACACCACCCCTAAGAGAGTCTGGCTGGGAAGGTTCCCGCTGGCCAGGCCACTGACCAAGGCCAGACCCTCACCGCACCCCATGGAGAAGAGGGGGTTCTCCTCACCAGCTCCCCTCCCAAGAATCTGAAGCAACTAGAGTCAGCAAGGAGCCACTGGCTGTGAGATGTGGCTCTCTCAGGGTGTGGCCCAATATGCTGGCAAACAGCCAGCGGCAGTTCACAGGGATGTGTACACAGTCTGTGTGATCACATCTGGTGTAAACCTTACCCAAAGATATTTATCATCAGGTACTTGTGGA